CACAGGAATAGTAAATATTCTAAGATATAAAAACTAAATACTTTTAACAAAAATAGTACTTGAACTTGGCACCATATCCAAACATGTAGGCTGAACAATGTGCTACCTATGAGTGTATATAGATTTTCTTTTTCACTAGACTGTAACAGAATCAAAAATACATCTGCTATAAATGTTTAAATACCATCATTTGGTTATAAAGAAGGCAGTTATTCAGGACCAGATATATATTAGAAGAGATAGTCTTTGATTATATGCCACTGACAAGGTTGAATTCCTGGAAGACATGTGGCTTAAAATGGTATTATAATCAACTTGCAATGAAAACTCATTATGAGTTTTATTAAAAAGCTTAATTTTGATTTTTCATAATTAATTATTGCTAGATCTAAAGACTGAGGGAAAGACTAAATACCTACATAAATTGGATATTGTCTTATCTGTTTGTGTAGATGAGTGTTTTTTAATGGAGGCGATATCGTCCCCATGTGGACATTTTTCCATGTTGGAGGTGATTAGTAACAATTTATATTTTGGAGGACAAAAAACAATTTTCAGGGTGATACAGTAAAACATTATATTAAGAATAATTTGATATTTTATTCATGATATCGTACAATAATTAAACAAATAATATTATACTAGTGACTAGTCTATTCAATGCAATATGAATTTGACCTTAGCCTTGTCCCTCAGCATTGGAATTTTGAAGCTTGCAGCGGATAAAAAGTGTTATATTTTATTATATTTGTTAAATTTGTTAATACTTATGTTTTTGTAATACTTAATTTTGTTAATTATATCAAAATCTAATATGTATTCTGAGTAAATAAATATTTAATTTTTTACAAAGTATATAATTATCAAATAAACTAATAACCCAACAAAATTTTTTTCGGAGTGAAAGGGGCGATACTATTATTGAAGAGGGCGACAGTTCGTTAGAGGTTGAGAAACACTGGTGTAGATGATGATTACAAATTCAGCCACAAGTTTCTTCTGGGTATCTTGACTTCTTTCAAATTTTCAATAGTTTAGATGGAGCTGTTCTGTAATTGTTTACTGGATGAAACTGCAGCTAGAATTAAGAACTGGCTTTCTGAAGAGTTGGAAGATATAGGCAAGTAGGATGAAACAATCTGAGATAACAAAAGCATGTAACAAAACCAGAAATTGTGTGCAAGCTGAACAACATTGTGTTTATGCTGATAAGGGTAACATACCAGTGTTTCTAACTCATGGAACTTACAGAGAAAAATAAGGGAATATCTTATGAGGACTTACTAAACTATGCTTAACAGGTCCTACAACTTAGTTGCTACGTACGGTGAAGTTGCTAATCAAAGACAGGAAGTTTCTAAGATTTTTGAAGTTCTCACCCCTGCAGAGAGCTGTTGCATCTAGACTCTTTGGTAGGATCAAAATGCATAAATCAAATTGGCCACTAAGGCCATTGTTAGAATAGACATATACTCCACTGGTTACACTGGAAAGAACCTTACATCAGTTGCTTAACTTAATAGGTCCTGGATCTGAATATACAAAAGCAATGCTGAGGAAGTTGTTCTAGTCCTAAAAAGTCATACAAGAGGAAAATGTGTTGATGATAAAAGTGACTGATTATCTGGACTTAATTTATAAAATTTTTTGTTTGGGACAGTATGTACTATTAACAGGAGGTAGGCATGTCTATGGGCTCATTCTAGCAACATTTCTGAGACAGTGGTCTTTGTGAGTAGAAAATCTGGTGGTTAACAAATATAAAAATCTTATTTGTTAATACATTAATAATATTCTCATACTATGGAATAATGGAGGCAAACTGTGGGATTTTATAGAAGAAATTGGTAATAATTCAGTATCCAACTTTGGATTGATTGGACTAGTCAAGAAGAGGTCATCTTCTTAGACCTCTACATCTATAATTTAGGAGGTGGTTATGGCACAAGACTGTATAAGAAGCCTACTAGCTGTGATTCTTACATACATTGGCAATCATGAGACATTATGGTCCATAAGTTAGGAACCTTCAGAGCCCAATAAAGAGGGCAATAAAGCACTCTTTGTTAATAACACAGTCTGCAAGAATTTTTATGTTTTATACAAACAGCAATTAATAATAATTTCCCTCCCAATGTAATTAAAGACTTTATGAGTGCAACTTTAAATAGGTGAAAAGAAGGCAAAAAAAGCTGTCCAGGCAACTAAAGGGAATATATGCATAGTAATTAGTAAAATGATAGTTTCTCTCCTGACCAGTTACATTACAGACAATGATATTACCTGTAATGCAAAATCGTACATTGACATAATGAACACAAGTTTATTACTCATTAAAAGCTACCCAGCTTTTAATGAGTAATAAACAAACAGTTGAGTGGATAAGCAAACAGTCTGATTAATTGGGCAGTGCTACATATATCTTTTTGCATGCAAACTTGGAATTATTAATGCCCATTACTCCTTTGTCTTAGACTGCCATTTTAGACTCTTAATATACTTACTAATTTTTTTGATTCAAAAAGTCCTTTCTAACATAATCTAGAATCAGCATTAATACACGTGGAGTGTATTTGTTGAAGGTCATGTAGTGTGGGTGGCTACAAGGCCACATTTATTCATTGTATTGTGTTTTATTTAATTCAATTTGTTTATAATTTCTTGTTTTAATTTATTTTGATTTTTCTTTATTTTATTAATTTTTGAATAATTATAACTTGTAATTTTAAATTTTAAAAAGTTTGAACATAGAGATGGTTTATCTTTCAAATATATTAGTTTTAAAATGTGATAATTTTCACAATTGCTGATGCTCTTATAAAAGAACAAAACTATTACTGAATAAAATTTAACTTGGTTTTCAAAATTAAACATTTTTTCTTCTCATCTTTGAGTAGTTTTATCATAACTTTTATATATTAATTGTCTTCATGTATAAATGTGCCGAATATCATATGGTGCTGAAACTCTGTGAAATTATTGTGCAACAAAAAATTAAAATGGATTCTATTAATAATTTTAAAAAATCAGTTACTATTGTTTTAGTGTATATTTATATTGTGAAAGACATAATAAAAATGAATTTTTTACATTTATTATAATTTTTAAAAATTTGTACACTCTCAATACATGAACTTATTTTCTAAATTAGATGGGTCTTTTTGTAAAACATTTTTTTTTATATAAAAATTTTATATAGGATATGCAAATTTTTTATTAAAAGTATATAGGATATGTAATTTTTGTTGTTATTATAGTCAAATTTTTTTACTTAAAAATGGAGAATCTTAAGCTGCATTTTTGTCATTTTATGCTTTTCTTTTTCTATAAAAAGAAAAATGCTACAACTGCACACAAAAGGTCTGTGCTGTTTATGGGAAAGCTGCTATCAATGTTTATACATGTCAAAAATGATTTAAGAGGTTCAGTGCAGGAAACTTTCTTTAGAAGATGCATTATGATCTGGAAGCTCCTCAGCTGTTGATGATGCAAGCACTGCACTAATTAATGAAAATCCATATACACCACCATGGAAATTGCAAAAGTGCTATCCATCACTTAGATTCATTGTTGGCTAAAAAAAAGGTCCTATATCACTGATTGATATATTGAATCCAAAATTCAAATGAAATCTTAAAGCAGTGTTTTTCAACCTTTTTCTAACAGTGGCACCTCCAAATTGGTAATTTTTGTTTTATGGCACCCTTACTTTGTTATAAATTAGTTTTTGTACTTTTAGTAACAAGTTGCACATTATGAAAATGCTTGGCACTTATTTTGCAACATCCTTGAAGTGTTGTCATGGCATCTTGATTGAAAACTACTGACTTAGGGCCTAAGTGCTACATTACCTGAAAATACACTGAAATTGAAACCAAAAATGATGCACCTTCTTAGTTTTTCTTTACATAACAATAATGTTATTTAGAAAATTTGTTTATCTGGTTGCTGTTGTATTTATTCATTTTTAAAATTTTTTTACTTAAAAATGGAGAATCTTAAGCTGCATTTTTGTCATTTTATGCTTTTCTTTTTCTATAAAAAGAAAAATGCTACAACTGCACACAAAAGGTCTGTGCTGTTTATGGGAAAGCTGCTATCAATGTTTATACATGTCAAAAATGATTTAAGAGGTTCAGTGCAGGAAACTTTCTTTAGAAGATGCATTATGATCTGGAAGCTCCTCAGCTGTTGATGATGCAAGCACTGCACTAATTAATGAAAATCCATATACACCACCATGGAAATTGCAAAAGTGCTATCCATCACTTAGATTCATTGTTGGCTAAAAAAAAGGTCCTATATCACTGATTGATATATTGAATCCAAAATTCAAATGAAATCTTAAAGCAGTGTTTTTCAACCTTTTTCTAACAGTGGCACCTCCAAATTGGTAATTTTTGTTTTATGGCACCCTTACTTTGTTATAAATTAGTTTTTGTACTTTTAGTAACAAGTTGCACATTATGAAAATGCTTGGCACTTATTTTGCAACATCCTTGAAGTGTTGTCATGGCATCCTGATTGAAAACTACTGACTTAGGGCCTAAGTGCTACATTACCTGAAAATACACTGAAATTGAAACCAAAAATGATGCACCTTCTTAGTTTTTCTTTACATAACAATAATGTTATTTAGAAAATTTGTTTATCTGGTTGCTGTTGTATTTATTCATTTTTAAAATTTTTTTACTGGGTTAGCTTATTATCTATTGCATAAGAAATAAGTTTTATTGTATTCTATGTAAATTTTAAAATTGTTGAATTTCATAAAAGTATAACTTCAATATTTCTAAAAATTTTTTTATAATTCATTAGTAGTCTTATTGAATCAAGAATTTACATTCTAACAAAGTTTTGCATTTGGTTATCAAATAATAACATATTAATGATTTAATACAAGTAATTCAAATATAATAATTTTAGGTAACTAAGTATAAAATTTGTATTTATTACAAAATATATTTAATTAGAAATTATATATTATTGTTATTTTTCAGATACCAAAATTAATATAGAACAATTTAAAAAGAATATCAAGAAATCACAGGTTTAGTATAAAACTTTATTATGATCTTAAAAATATTTGTATAAATACATTTTAAAATATCTTTCATGCTAAGTTTAGCATAATAATAAACAAAATTTTTAGTCCATGACTATAAATTAGATAGAATTAGATAACCTAAAAAATAGGATTTAACAGTTTGGAGGGCTTATCACACCAAGGCTGATAGAAAGAAGGACCAGAACTTTTACAATAAAGTTAGTCTTTAATAATCACATTTCAAATTTAGATAAGGATGCATTTCGGGTACAAGAACCCCTCATCAGCTTACAAACACATGGCAACAACATAACAATTATAACACCACTAGTTAACCAATACAAAGGAATATCTAATATATACAGTGCACTGTATTCACAATTTTTAAGGTAACCCATATACTAAAAAAAAAGAAAAAAAACTAAAACTATCGAGCATAATATTTTAATACAATGACAATGTGATATATCATATTATTTGGGACCTTGTTACAATTCATTTTACAAATTATAACAAGGTTTTACAAATTGTTTTAGTTTTTTTTTAGTATATGGGTTACATTAAAAATTGTGAATACAGTGCACTGTATATATTATATATTCCTTTGTATTGGTTAACTAGTGGTGTTATAATTGTTATGTTGTTGCCATGTGTTTGTAAGCTGATGAGGGGTTCTTGTACCCGAAATGCATCCTTATCTAAATTTGAAATGTGATTATTAAAGACTAACTTTATTGTAAAAGTTCTGGTCCTTCTTTCTATCAGCCTTGGTGTGATAAGCCCTCCAAATTGTTAAATCCTATTTTTTAGGTTATCTAATTCTATCTAATTTAAGTTTAGCGTGCTAGTAATTTTCAAATTTTATGAAAGTATAGTATTTTCTTCACTAAAAAATTTCATTTTTAATTTTGCATTGTACAAAAGTGTTTCAATAAGTAATACCTTTTATTTTTTTAAACAAACATTTTAATGTATATGCAAAAACGTGAATATAGTAAATGAAGTTTGAATTTCTGGCAACACTATTGCACAATAAGAACACTTGTGACTTGTGTTGCCTGTTGGACATTTCTGACAAATGGGAAGAAAAGAGCAGCACAGTGTTCTTTGTTTTCTATAGACAGGGGGCAAGAAATGTGAACAAATTCATGCGGAAATGCTGAACATGTATGCTGATGATTTCATGGACGATTCAAATGTCCATCGATTGTGAGAAATGATTAAAAATGGTTGTCAGTGTGTGATTGATAATGTGAGCATTGGGATTTATAGGTTAATTACCAGGTTGTTCAATAAGTTTTGTCGTTTGATAAGAGATGGCGTTATTAGGATCATCACTTTATTTCTCTAAAAATAGTACTACTATTTCATAAGCACATGTCAAGTTTCAAGTAGATCTGTCAACTCGTTTGTATATTTGCATCTGTTCAAAGTGGACATGTCACTATATTTTTTTACAATGGAAAAAATTGAATATAGTGCAGTGATAAAATTCTTATTTTTTGGAAGATGTAGCACCAAAACAAATTCATGAACGATTGTTAAAAGTGTATAAGGACTCTTTCCCTTCAATTAGAACAGTAGAAAGTCGGGTTAAACGTGGTCATACAAGTTGTGAAGGACATCCAAAAAGTGCATCAACACTAGAAATTGTAGCAAAAATACAGCATATGGTTTTGGAAGATCGTCGATTAACCAAGAGAGATTTAATAGAAGCCCTAGGGATCTTGTTAGGCAGTGTGAGCAGTATTTTGACTGAGGTTTTGGGTTACAGAAACCTGTGTGCACAATGGGTGCTGCATTCGCTAACTATAGAACAAAAACACATTGAAATGCAACTTTCTCAGCAACATTTGGAGCATTTTAGAAAGGATAAAAAGGATTTTGTGCATTGTTTCATCACTATAGATGAGACTTGAGTCTGCCACCATGATCCTGAATCAAAACAAGAGGCTAAGGAGTGGTGTGAACCCGGTACTTTAGCTCCGAAGCGAGATAGGGTCCAGAAATCGGCCAAGAAGCTGTTAATATCAGTTTTTTGAGATGCAAAAAGAATTTTGTTTGTGAACTTTTAAACTGGTAAAACAATAAACTCAGATTATTATTGTAACCTTTTGGACCAGCTGGATGTAAAAAGTTGTGAGAAAAGACCTGGTTTAAAGAAGAAAAAAAAATCATTTTTCATCAAGACAATGCACTCTCTCACACAGCTCAAAAAACCATCGCAAAAATCAGTAAATTAAAATACGAATTGTTGCAACATCCTCCCTATTTGCCAGATTTAGCTCCCTCTGACTTCTGGCTGTTCTCACATCTCAAAAAATTCATGCGTGGAAATGATTTTCATCGAATGAAGAGGTAATAGCAGTCATGGAAGCATATTTTGACAGTCTTCCAGATTCTCACTTTAGGGATGGAATCCATAAATTAGAAAATCACTGGAACAAGTGTATTGAAGTTCAGGGAGATTATATTGAATAATAAAATGTATTTCAAACCATAAAATCATGTTTTTCTTATCGAACGACAAAATTTATTGAACAACCTGATAGTGTAAGAAAATATATTATTTCTCTACACATTGTCTACAAAAAGGAAAGTTACATTCATCGTTTTTGGAGAAAAGGGAAACCAACTTTCCCACGGGAGCTTATCTACAATTCTGATGATCCTATGTCTGTTTACCTTCTTTGCACTCATTACACATCCCATAGAAACTGCGGTCCCCTTTTATGCTATTGGTCAAATTGTACTATAAAAAGGGTGATTTTTCCACCATTTGGGGCAGTTCTCTATAATAAAGTTGCCACAGAAGGCAGTCAATAGAAATCTGACATTGCCACATAGATGATGGGCAGTCCTAGAAATTATGGATCATAATTGTAAAGTATCGTCACCAGGGGAAAGCTTTTCTAATCTACATTCTCCAGCGCTTACTTCTTTGTGGATAAAAAGCCGAAACACTCCAAGAAGGTTAGATGGTATCAAGAAGACGTTTGTATGTCACTAGTTCCTATTTTAGAAAAATTTTTATATTTTTTAATTGAAAAATTTTGTGTTTTTTAAAAGGACTTTTTAGTGTTTTGGCAGCTAGTAGCCTAAAAAGGAAAGTTGGTTGCCAGGATTGTATTGTCTGAAACACAGAAGTAATAAATAGTGGTCCCTGTTTGAGTGAACTTTGTCTTTAAAAAAAAATATATGTATATATATATATATATATTTTAAAAAGTTAATCATTATGTTTACTTATTGATTTCATTTATTTGCTAAGTTCGGGCCATTCACCCGCTACAAGTCGGACTTACCCGCAACTCCCCCCACTCATCAAAGTAACAGCTCTCCTAATTAAATGATAACTTAAACATGTGATAGGGTGCGAATCTCACCCCTATCTGGTGTTGGGAGCTTGACAGAAGATGACAGTTATACGATTGCCTTGTCTTTGCACCTTCTTTAACTTTCAATTTAAAGCCATCCTATAACTCTGTGGGCAAGTCTTATGGACTTGATTGCTGATTAAGCAATAAAGAGTTTAGTTACAACTCTTTACTCCCAGTTATCCTCACAATAAGCACAGGTCAGATCATCCAGTAAGTGCAGCTTTGCCTCAAACAGTCACTGCTGTTGATTGAATGATTCAAAGCAACCGTTGCATTTGCTTGAAGATGTCAGAAAAATGCTTGGTGTCCTGTTTGGTTCTTTGAAGAAATTCCTGGCTAGAGAGAGGTTCCATTCCGTTAAGGAGGTTAAATTGGCTGTTCGCAGATGGTTGTATGGCCAGGAAATAGTGTTCTACAACGCAGGCATCTTCAAACGGGGGTACTGTTAGGACAAGTGCTTGAACCTGAATGGTTCCTATGTCAAGAAGTAGCCTAATCCACATATTTCATTTTGTATATTCTGTATTTTCCATATGCATTAAAACTTTTGCTTAAAAAAAATAAAAGGCATTACTTATTGAAGCCCCCTCGTCTAATTATTTCAGGAAAACATAATAAGTAATTTTCAAAATGAACAAAACTTGACACAGTTTTTAAATGTAGAGTCAACATGTCTGCATATTAAAAATACCAAAAGTATTTAATAACTAGAAATGTTTCAGCTTTTATAGACCATTCTTAAAGAACAGAATGCATTTGAATCATAGAATGGAACAACATTGAATAGATTTTTAAATTAATTAATTAATCATCAAACAGAATTTTGCAACATATTGTGATAGTCCATATTATTAAATATATATAATTTTTTATCCACAAATAAACATATTATTTTATCATAGAAATTATAAAAATTCTGTGAATTACGTGTTACTTTTCATACATTCTCTAATTGAGTGGCATCTCAGGCATTGGTTATATTGGGATGTTTACAGAAAATATAAATTGGGATATCAGTTCATCATTTCAATAATTAATTTCACAAAAGCATTAATACAAATTAGCAGAAAAATCAATGTTAATATCTAATTAGTTAACATCGGTATGAATTGATGCTGGGGATAAAAATCTAGAGAGTGTTGAGCTCTCAAAATTTTGCTCTTGGTATACAGTTTATTTGTGGAAAAGTTATGATGCAATTTTGATAATTTTGCAAGATTAAATAAAATTTACTTTGATATAAACATCATATTGTAATGTTTAATAAAAGTAACTGTATTTTGAAATAAAGATAATTTTTCAATAGCTCATCTGACCATAAGACCATTTTTTAAAATAAAGGGACTTGTTTGGAATTAGCTCTCTAAATTCAATTTTTTTTTTATCAAAATGAAGTAAATTATATCATCTGATATTGTCAAGAAACAATGTATTTTTATGTAAAATTAATGTAAGAAATTTTTTAATTTTTTATAATTCTGTGGTTTGTTACTTTTCTGTATTTCAAATTAAATGTAACTAACCCATAGATGAATGAGTAATCCCTAATTATTCTAATAAAGTAATGTATCTGATTATTTAACTATGTAATAATGATAAATGTCACAAATTAATACTGAATTCAGGTTTATTAGTAATTAGATTGATGAATTATGATATATTTTGTGCTTAATTGTCATTTATATTTTTAATTTAAATAACAAAAAAAATGTAACTTTATAACATTTTGTATTTTCAGAAAAGAGGATTCAGGCCAGATCAAGATACATATGAAATACCCCAGAAAAAGAAAAAAAAGAAATAATTTATTTACAGTAATTAAAAATTTAAGGAATAAATTTTATATTTATTTTAAAAAGTAGTAAATTATTTTAAATTTATCAATCATTTGTACAAATTTACTAAATTTTATAGTATGAAAGTGATAAATTAACAAATTAATAACTTTATGTTATCTAATTCAATAATTTTTCTTTGAATTTAAATAATTTAATTAAATTTTGAAAACTTGAAATGTAGTATATGATTTAGGTTAGATGATTATAAAATAATCTGCAGGTTTAAACAAAAATTTGTTAAACTAATTAATGAACACAAAAAAGATAGTTTGTACTTAAGATATTTATTAAACATATATATTATATATTTATGATAAATACAAATTATTATAAGAACAAACATCAAGTAGAACATAGACAATTCAAAACAAGACTGTGGAGTTGGTATACTAAGCTCTAGCTTCCCAATTCCTGCCTCTAAATAATAATTTAAAATATACTTTGATTATATTAACCCAGAATGGCATTTCATCATTACCCCAAATGAATTCAACCACTCATTGACACCAAAATGTTTTCCACTGTTTTCCACTTTTTAAATTCCTAACTTAACGTTAGGAATTTAAAAAAAAAAAAAACTATTTAACAAGTTGTCTTAGCCATTTTGTATGGATCTTTTGACAATAAAAATTTAAAATTAGCTAGCACAGAATGTATTGGAATATAAATTTCTGAAAAGAAAATCGACAGTAATTAGTGATATGCAAAGAAAGATCATAAAATACAATACCATTTCAAAATATTCTTTTATCAATCAATATCATAGCATTTATGTTAAAAATAATAATGTTATAACTATAAAACATTATAGTAAATAAAGTATCACATTCCATCGTGTTTCATCTTTATTTCTTCCAAAAATCAGCTCATTATTATATACTATTACAGTTAAACTTTACTTTCTTACCTGTTGTTTTAAAATAATGGAATATTTTTATTTCACTTTATAAACAATTTGTACATATTAATATATTGATGTTGGTTTTAATTAATATCGTGTTAGGCATCCTTTGACCTTTACTACTGCCCTTATTTGACCAGACATTGATTTAGTTAATTTCTCACACGAATCAGCAGTAATATTGTTCCAAACAGACCTCACCATTTCCTTCAGTTCGTTTTTACTTTTCTGGCTGTTATATATAATAGAGGGAAAGTATGGTGATCGGTCAAAAACTAACGCCCCCAATACTTACATTGTTGGACCTTGGACGTTGAAACGTTGAGAAATGCAAAAAAATTCGTTTATTTTCTGTATGTGTGGGGGGCACGATTTTGTTCACCTTCACCTTCTGAATAACCCTGTGCTTTTTGTCGAAAATTTCTGAAATTTTGTAGGCAGGTTTGTGTATTAGGGGAATTGATGCTAATAAATTTTGGGTTAGGGGTGGGAAAATAAAGGGGATCGTGTCATATCTCAACTAGGTTTGACTTGATGACGATTTTTTTCGTTATTAGCATTTACAATTTTTATAAAACCCATCCCTACCCTTAAAATTAAATTTTTTTTTGCCATTTTATAATAATATAAAAAGTTCTTTTCAATAAAATATCGTAACAGACGGTGCTACCAAATGTTGCTTAACTTTCCCAGCAACATTTTTCCAACTCATTGCTGGATTTTTAATTGATTGTCCAAGTGTTTGCACCCTTTGTAATGTTTAAAAAACAGGCTGTTATTTCCTGTTGCAGTGAAACATCTCCATACCATTACACTTTGAGGATGTTTAACAAAATGTTTTAAACAATCTGGATCGTTGGTTTCTCCTTTTCTATCGCTTTCATTTGGTGACGAGATTCCTTGTCACTAAATGTAACACACAATCTTAATTCATCTGAAAATAATACTTGTTTCAGTCATCCACAGTCCAGTGTTCTTTCTGTTTTGTCCACAGCAATCTTTTCATCTGTTGTGATTTATTTAAATGTGTCTTCACTTTTGGTACGCAAGATTGGAATGTAATTTCTCTCAATCTCCACTTAATGAGCTGATTTTTGGAAGAAGTAAAGATGAAACATGATAGAATGTAATACTTTAATAATGTTACAAATGCGAAACAATATAATAAATATTTTAACATAAACATGTTGATATCAATTGAAAAAGGGAATATTTCATTATTTTGAAATGTAGTTGTAGGGAATTATGGCAGAATTTAAATGCTACGAGAATAGAGTCGTCTAACGAATGATAACATTCTTTTTTAAAGAATTTTTATTATTAGGCATTAAATACTACGGGCCAAAATATATAATTTAGAACAATCATCTTTCGAGAAGGATGATTGCAATAAATTGGGTCTCCAATTACTGGATTTGTCACGTGAACATCAATTATACACGGATAGAATCGGACTATCCGGCAGAGTTTACATGTTTAACTAATACAATCAAATCAATTGTTGATTTGACTGTACAGAAAATTTGTTGCCGTTGTGTACATTTCGAAGTTATCGACGACGACGATACATCGGATCATTTTACTATCTTATTGGTTATAGCCTATGAGCCAGTTCGAAACAGCGAGTCCAATTTAAAAACTAAGAATAAGTCAGCAATTAGCAGTCGTCACAACGCATCAATAAATTCAAACGTCATTAATTAATTTATACTGGGAATTATAATCTAAAAGAAATATGTAATTTTAAAATAATGACAGCAATTTATAAAAAAAACAAAGCATTTCGACGGTTTTTGTTAGCAAATGAAAAAAATTATTGAAACTAAAAAAATATAGGCCTATAAACATTGTATAGCTACTTGAAATTGTATTCTTAATAAAGGCGAAGATCGCTCCAAAACTTGGTTGTCGACCTTGAAAGATCTAAATTGCAATATCAATAAATTTCGTCATAAATCAAAATCTAAGAAGACATTAATTGACTTCAAAGAATACGTATCGTATGTCAATAGATTTACAAATATTACTGGCGAAGAGTTTAATAACCGATTTAGGAAAAAGATGAATGTCCGTTTTAGAGGAAGGTTTACCAACGAGTGAAATAAATGAAAGTTGTCACGCACCTAGCTTCTCCCGGAAAAAAAAACTTTCAACTAAATTTTTTAAATTTACTCCTCTGTTCAGAGGATGGTTAGCTAAAACATTCGGCCGATTTTATTTTATTTTTTTCGTGTTTCCCAGAATGTTGAAATACTATAAAGCTATTGTGAAGTATAAGAAAGGAGAGAAAACACCACAAAATTACCGTCAGTAACGAGGAATGTTTTACCGCTATACCGGTAGGAAGATTTCAGTAGTGGACTTCGAAAACTAATTTAAATTTTGAGCTGATCTTGTTAAGAACAAAGGTACAGAACAGGTAATTTTCTCGTTGCGTACAATATTAGAATTTCAATTGATAAATAAAAAATGATACTCTATTTTCATAGATTTTGAAAAAGCATTCGACTCTGGTTCAAATGTTTACTACATTTGAATCAGCTGGAGGATTTTTCCTGCAATCGATTAAATTAAGTTACAAATTATCTTGTTACAATAATATTTGGTATCTTAAATTCTTTTTAATAAGTATTCCCTAAGGATATCCGATATTGCATTATTTGTTCATTTTTCAAATACAATTTTTACGAATTCTGAAGATAGTTGTGGATAAAACTGTACGATTCTTTATGATGATGATCACACCAAAAACAACACTTTGGTATAGGCTAAGATGTTTCTTTATCTTGAAACAATATTCTTAAAAAGTAATACTTAAAAAACTAAAATAATTTTTATAATAATTGTAAAGTTCAAGAAAATAACTTTTACATTAGAAACAATTTAATACTGTATCTCTAGTAGACGAAATTAGGTATTTGGGGATTGCATTTAGATGGAACAACAACTTGAAAGAAAACGATAGATAACGTCGTAAAGTCAATAGTCTTTTCGGATAAAATAGAAAAAAGTTTTACTTGAGATTAATGAGTAATAGAGATGAATGAATTTGTAATATTGGTAAACAAACGAATCAAATAAGTTTAAACTTGATAAACTAAATACTGTAGTTAAATAAATCCCTTGTCATTCGAGATGGAATCCTATAGAGATTTTTCCACCCCATATCCTCTAAAATTGTTTTGCGTTCGATTTTCTTCGCGAATTTTCAGTCCGTTATTGATTTTGATTATTCTATAGCGATCTGATCTATGGCTGCTCCCTCTCTTTTGGACAAAATCATGAAAGAACTTAATAAAATATATCTCACCTTAAATTCTATAACCTACCTTTTACCAGTCATTCTAGCGTTGCTAGGTCCAGATTGGAACTGCCCTTATTTAATGATCGTATAAAATATTTTGATCAATTGCTATACCATAGATACCACAACGGATACGTAATGTCCGATTGACTTCGTTTAAGAGTTCCGTTACGTATTACTCGTAATTTTTCAAGCATCTATACACTTTTTTTAGATTATACCATTTTTTACCGCATTTCACAAAATATAGCTAAAGCTTAGTTCACACTGAGCGAATAGCGAAAGCGAATGTGAAAAGCGAAAAGCGATTTTTATTCGCTTAGCGAAATTGACCCTACAACCAAAAGCGAAAAGCGATTGCGAATTTTAAGCAGCCAATTATTTGCGAGCAAGTGAAAACGTCATCTCGAAAAACAAAATGGCCGCTTCCGACATTCCGTCGTTAACCACATTTGTTTATTTATTGAGAAAGAAAAATAAGTCAAAAATAAAACGATGTTGGGTGAGAGAAATATTAAAATCCGTAATTATAACATGTAATCTATTGTGTGAGAAAGTTTCTGTAGCCATCTTGAAAACAACAAGAACCACGTGACAACTAACGGGAATACGATTGGTGCGAAATTTTTTCGCTAGCGAAAAAGCTCGACAGTTCCGAACTTCAAAGCGATTCGCGAAATGGTAAAATTCGCCGGAAACGACGTCATGTCTGACGTGTTATTCGCTTTGTTTTTCGCTTTCGCTAGCGAATCGCGCTCAGTGTGAACTAAGCTTAATTCCGAACACTTACTTCAAATAGATTATAACGATTTCAAAAAGGCCTGTAAATGAATATTATACAATTCTTAATTTTTTCTTTTCTTTATAATTTTGTACTTTTTATTTGTATTTTCTTTTGTTGTACTTTACTCGTTGTATTTTATGTATTTTTTAATCGGGGTTTTATTGGGTTGTATAAATTTTGTCACCTGTAAATTAAAAAATGTAATTTTACAGGTGACAAAATTTGACAAATTGAATAATTAAAAAGAAAAAAAAAATGCTTACAAATTTACTTAACTTTGAAGTGAAAGAAAATAATAATTTGATTATAACAGATACAAGTATTTCCTTTAATGAAAAATCTGCTGCTTTTTTTGCTTGATATAATTTTTCTATGCGAGGTTCATAATTTAAGGTTTAAGACTTTCCATGACAGCTTTAGAACCCGCTTTCACATTATGTATGTAAAGTTTTGAAATGTATCAAATATTTTTGCTATAATTTATAAAAAAACTAATAGGCCTACTTTCCAAACATGGTGTACAATACCTTGAATTTGTCGCGCGGGTCAGGGGTTCGCCATCATCTATTAGAACAGGATCAGAAACATGGATAGATATTATTAACGCTTTTGACTTTTTTTCGATCAATCTTAAAAAATCGAGCCCTTTTTCATACATAGCATTACCAAATTTCAATAAATTTTCAGTGTTTCCATACATAAAAATGAATTCGTTTGAATAAATATTCAATTTTTATAAATAATATTAAAATTACAATAGAGAATTGTTATTGGTGTATAGTACATGCACTAGCTTTTCAACGTTCCATATCTTAAAGGAATGTAATGCACTAGATTAGAAAAGGATATCATCGGGTCGTCAACATATTCTCAAAGGCTAATTATAGAAATAATTTGAAATATATGAAATATTACAATGATATTTAATAATCGACGGTAAAAAAATAAGTAAAAAAGAAACTTAGAAATATATGTGTATTATACTGTCAATTCCATACTGTAAATTTATGTCTCTTTTATAACGGATATATTCATTAATGTAATACAGAATTGTGTGTGAGAATTTACAAATGTAACTTGATTGGAATCGTAAATTGGAAATCAATCGATACATACAAGCACTTGTATGCATCGATCTATTGTCTTATGTTTTTAAGAACACCTCCGAATGATTTTACGTAATGTAGGCATATAAATTTATTTTTCTTTTTCTCCATTGCAAAAATTTGAGTTTTTAATTTCAACAAAGATTAACCAAACAAAATGTATTTTAAAGTAGAAATAGTTAAAAATTACTGTTTTGTTTTTCCCGGAGATGCGAAGTATCAATATAACTCTACTAATAACAGAGTAATTCGCTGCATCTGTCCTTTCTTATATCGTATAAGGGTGGTATAATAAGTAAACTTTCAAATATTTTCTTAATCGATCGAACAGTCGTTAATTAATTATGAAGAAAAACCGAGAAAAAGAAATAAAAAGATTTAATGAAAATATCTCAACTATAATATCAATAAGTTACGAAAAATAATAACATTAATAACGAAATAGTAATGTTTTCTTCGCGTATAAAAGAAATATTAACGCGCTTCATAATTACGCACGCTTCACTTCACTACTCACGATTTCATTTTCACGTAGGCTACTTAATAATCGATATTTGTGTTAGCCACACTGTATCGAATATCGTCGACATTTCTTTAATCGAAAGAATCGATTGATTTACCAGGCGCAAAGAAACTGTAGCTTTTAAAATTAGGCTATATTTGGAATAAATGACTCCTTCGCATAATAATAATTTCAGTATCTTACAACGGGCCGAATTTTTCAAAATAAGAGATATATTTAGAGACGATGTACATGTCTCGTTGAAGCGTAAGGCTCTTCAAGTCCGTGCTCGTGACTCGAGGAAGTGAAGCTATTGTAAAATGACTGAAGTGACTTTAAAAAAAGTGACGTCATTTCCTGTTTAATGAAAACGAAGTTTCTGTAGATTTAACTCCTGTATGTTAAATAAAATTTTTATTTCTCCATATTTCAGATATTTTTGCCCCTGATTAAATACTATGTTAACACATGCTTCAGACGTTACTGCGGATAGACAAAAAAGGCAAAGTCTGATACTGTATGAAAACAGAGTAGCATAGTCGCAGGTCTTATTAACAGTTTTTAGTAGTTATTCTTTTAATTATTAATGTTATGGACAATTTCCTTATGCGTTCATGTTTGTTACACTTCAAATATAACAATACCACCGTATCTGAAAATTAAGCTCTATGGTCACTCGGCTATCACCGTTACAAGTAGATATGAAACTTCCAAAGACATATGCTAAACTCAATTTTCAGAGGCCCATTTTTCGGAAACGGTTGAGAAATGGGTCCTATTATTTGGACAGAGAGTTGTTTGTGTTTATGGCTACGTGCTCATTAAGTTTTATTCGAATCGGAGACTCGAACGTATGAACTTCTCCTTGTAAGAATTTTAATTCGCGTTACATGCAATTAGTTCGTGATTGGACATGAAAAATTTTATTACTAATAATTTGAGACGTAATATTAGGAAGAAAGAAATGAAATCGGCAACATCCATGAAATTCTTTTATTTATTATTTAAAATGTAAAATTGCACAAAAAACTTTTCAAATGCATTCGTGTTCGTCTGTCTCATACCGAGACATCTTAGAACTTAATTATAATTTTTTTTTATTAAGAATATAAACAGAAACAATCTGTAATGACTAAGAGACACAAAAATACATATACTTTTGAGCTTTCGATTTCTTTTTTAATTTTTATGTACATATATTTATAAAAATGCTTTAGCTATAATAATCAAAAGCACAGAAAAATAGCTTTTTACCTCTAATAACATTTTATATATGCTAACATTTACTACCAATTAGCTATTAGCTATTAGATTTCGCCATTACGAGCGCTACTCGGTGTTAATTAAACAAGAAGTGATTATAAACAAGGGTTATTTAAAGCAATTTTTGTTCCTTTAAATTAAATTAGATTGCAAAATTAGTAGGGATCTTATTCATTACATTCCTATTAATTTAATAAAGTCGTTTGTTTTTCGGTCGATGGAAATATCCAATTTAGTGAAGCAAAATTATAAGTTAGCAGAATAAAGCTTTAATATAACTCTCTTTTATCACAATCGTCGATATATTGCACATTAAAGGAACAAAAAATAATAATAATGATGATAAAAAATTGGTACATTGCACATTTTATTTTGTTCCCAAAATTCGTACCATTTGTTCTTATAATTTTATAATTGCTCGTAATTTTTTACTCTACTGTATTTGGACGGAGTATTATTATATTATATAAAAACTTTACATTTGTAAATACAATTTGAACGTAGTCTATATACGGGTATATTTCAATAAATCGAATGATTAAAAACTGAAGAAATTGATATAGATTATTATGTGTAACACTAACAAATTTAAAAATGAATTCGTATAATGTATCTGAACGATCACGACACAAATAACAATTCTTCTTTAATTTACATCGACGATAACAATATTTTTTCTCTTTTGACTTTTGAGGAACATAGAAGAAACCAATATACTCAAATTTTATATTTCTTCGTGCGTGTTTTGTATACATATATATTTATATATATATATATAACTAAGTATGTAGACTATCTACGTGTATGTATATAATATGCATTTGTATGTATATATATATATATATTAGTGTTCTCTTTACATCTAGAATGAAGTACAAATCGTACGAACACAAAACCAGAGAAATATCTTCCTCTCTTTCTCTCAAGAGTCTTTAAGTACTTTTATGTCCTAAGGAATGTGACTTTGGTTCGATTGTTCATATTGGACAAGATTAGAAAAGATAAATGATTCGTCCAATTTTCATTTAAAAGAGAAGTTTTTAAAAAGTGAGTAAATACAGGAATCGTCATCAAATGGAACTTTCTTCTAGATGAGAAGCGTCACTCTCGTCGGCACGTCTTCTCCAATTCTACGGCTCGACTGCGTAAAAGGTCCACTCGAAATAATGCGAGTTTAATATTCGATGGAAATTTCACCCACATCCTTGAATTTTACACGTCACAAGAATTTTGTACCATCTTTTTTATTATTTCTTTGGTTGGCAAGCAGACAGTCGCTTTTCTTTGTGTGTGTGTGCGAGTCGATTATCGGCATTTCCCGAATGAAAATCACTTATCGCACACTCGATGAAAGATCAAGTGATATTCGATAAAGGTATGACCCATATCTTCCACGGGCAAGGAGCACGGCTAGAAGATATAAGTAAAATGATAAATAGAATTATTAATTATATATTTATTTTTATAATATATTTACTTAGTTTAATGTTTTAAATGATTAATTGATTGTCCTATTCTATATATAATATAAAATGTCTACACGTTTGTTATTCGTACGAATTATTTGCGATATTAATTTGACAAGAAATGAAAAATATCTTTACGTTTTATAATCATGTGACTTAAATTGTAATCTTACCATTTGGTTATTGACGTCGTAGGAGAGAACCCTAAATACGTAAGAACTTTTGAAATAAAGACCTATCGGTAAGCTCCAAGTAGGATTTTGTTCCTGTTAATTAAAAATAAGTGGATTATAATCTTATTAACAAAAATGTTTTGAATTTTTATAATAGCTCTACACTTAGTTTTGAAGTTTCTTTTCCTTACGATAATTCTTACCAGTTTTATTATATTAATATGAATTATGGAAAATGTTTTAAAGTTCAATATAAATAAAAGGTCTTTATAATAAATTATGTTTACATTTATAGAATTTTACATTGATTTAGAAGACATTTTAACATAATATAGCGTAATTTTTCTCTTCTACGGACCTAAATTAGGATTACGTTTATATTTCATTTTTTCTATGTAATAGCGCAGATCTTTAGAAAATACACAGAGAGCCAACGTTAAGGAACAAAAAAGATATCCTCGCTTTTGAAAGAAAAATAATTTGTCACTCGAAAATAAGTATGCTTACTGCTAGTCTATTCTCCTGTAATTTTAAATTTGGTATAAGTCCCTTTTTCCCTTATGAAAAATGCCAAACCGAATTCGGTACATTTGTTTATCGATTTTCTTCAAATTCGATTTTTTACAACAGTAAATACAGTATACTTTATATGTGTACTTTACCATATTCTATACTGGGTCTGGCATAAATCGCATGACACATCCGAGCTGTGCTACGATGGGAAAACTATCCCTCGAAAACCAACCGGTAGCCGAATGGATAAAACCACCAAACACTGGTAATGGTCAACGGACTGGCACTTGCAGTGTTCCTGGTTTTCTTCGCATTTGTAACACCTAAGTAGAAATTAGTTTCCTTTAGAAAGTCCCCCGGGAGGCATACACCTCGGCAGATCGCCTGTTTGTCGTGTTGCCGAATACAAAACAAATAAATACGATCATAATACGGTAGAATAGTGAGATATCAATACAGATCTTTGCAGGGAGATGCGCGTTATTCGGTTTGGGGTCTTGAAGGTTTAAAAGTTTGAGAACCTATTTTTGGTAACGCGTGATCTTGTTAAATATTCGTCAAACGGTTTGTTCACTTCACTAAGTAAATAGACTTGTCTCTGCTACTGCGTATATTTTCAGCCCGGCCGAGATTGGCACATATAAGAAAATTCGTTAGGTTAAGTAAAATAATTGACAACTTATTTACTTCATCCTTTTCTGTTACATAGATACGTTTGTGTAATTAAAATTAAATATGAACGAGAAGTTTAATTTCACACAAAAGTTAGAAACAAACTATAGTTAGCATAAAATTATGGCCTCACTCCATGAATATGGTCGACACCATATTATCAAACTGGTAGGAGTGCTTAAGGGGCGGAAGGCAAACGCGAAATGTAGATCCTACGAGGTCCTTTGAACAGTAAAAATTTTCACGCAAAACTATCTGAAAAAATGAAGTTACTTTTATTTAATTTCATTGTAAGTTGCAAAATCCTCCAAATATTCCAGGCACGAAAGTAAACTGAAACAATATCGGTGAAAAATCGCAAGTACAGTAAAAAATTGCGGTTCCAATTAGCTTTCTTCACCTCTCCGTAGTTTCTCTGGGGACTGCAGAGTACTTTGGAAAGCTTAGCTCTAAAAAGTCTCGCTAAGGGTCCGACAAGCAGACAAATGCAAATAGGCTACTGTAGCAACACCGGCAAGCCCGTATCGGATATCCGACGGATCTAACCGAATGGCGTTTGGCCAAAGATGTCCTTTACCATTACTCCGTTATACGGTACAAATGCTCACCGTCCTCCATAATTGCTTTTGGCTTTTTATTGCAAAAATAAAAAAAAAAAAACGCGGGCTAAATACGAGGCATTTCGTAATAAGGTTTTAGAATGGAACGATAAGCTGGAAAAACGAAACATTCACCATTTTGGAGGTCTCGATTGTCTCGCATAGAATTTAAACCCTCGTCAGACGGTCGAGACCTCTACACCATCGTTACCGAGTTCCTCCGTAAGCCGAATTAATTCGATACGTGACATTTCCCGGAAAGGAAAGTCTCAGTTTTACGTCATCCGCAGTAACCAAATATAAGCCAAAAGCCAAATTTCACCTCTGACCATTCGAGGGTTAGTTTTCCCATCAGAGCACACCTCGAATACGTTTCGCGTCACCCGCCGGATACGGTATATGATTTAAACTTTCACAGATATTTTATAGGCTAAAGTTTGCCAGTTAGACAATAAAAGTTAAATTTTAAATATCACGTTATCGTTTGAAGAATGCGTTTCTTATAATTTGTTAATTATTGCTTTGGCAAGAAAAGCGCACGGACTGGCCAATAGCCACGCGGGAAAGTTCGCGAATTCTGGTACAGTACAGTATGTAGGCAGCAAAGAACTAAGAATGAAAAAAATTACAGTATATTTTGAAATAAAATTAATCATATTAGGGTGTTACAGAAACATACAAACTTCCGGGAGTTATAGAGGACACCAAAAACAATTCATTGATAAATTCATGTCCGAAAATGAACTGTTTTGGCAATAGAGCAAATTAAAGTTTTAATTTAGGACTACCACACATTGGCGGTCAATGAAAATCCGAGCATTTTTTCCCTTGCTTTTCTTGTTATGTTGTGATAATAAAAAAAATAACATTAATACTTTTATCAGGATAAATTCCTTTATCCTGATAAAGATTGAAAATTTTCAAATACAAAATAGTGGTTTATACTATCGAATGGCAACCTCAATACCTTCAAATTTCGTTTGTTACTCATTTACGTATTCGAAATTCTTCTTCAAAACGAACAATAATTTTTCTTTTGAAGAAGTGGCAGAGATGCATCTTGTTTACAGTGAAGAAAACGATAATGGACGAGAAAGTTCCATACTCGTATCAAGAGAGGTATCCAAGTAGCCGTCAAGAATATCTTTTGGCAAGAATCATGGTCGCTTACGCGCGTGTACAAGCTATTCCCGGAATATTCCGTAAGGTCAGTGAATCCATGAACCGACGATGCAATCTCTGTTTTGAAGTACAGTACATGGTCGCCATTTTGAATACCTGCTGAAAATTCAAATAATTTACTCTATTGACGTTTTATTTGAGAACATGGGCTTATTACAAAAAGAGATTGTTTTGGTGTTCTCCATAATTATTACAGGGTATTTTGACACCGAATATAACGTTTGTATAATTATTAAATTCTTACCCTTTAAGTTTTAAAGAATTTAAATATTATTCAGTTTTTTTCTAAATTAACAGAATGCCAATAAACCGGTATTAGTGCCAGTATAATGCCGGTATCGCAATCTCTACTTACCACTAAACGAATTGAGAATTATACTAACACGATTTGTTTGGCGTAGTCCCTGCCGAAACACGAAAGAAGAAAAATTTCGGATGGACGAAACTATTAAGAATTCGATAAAATAAGATCGTCAAAATATTATCTTTATCAAAAACTCATTTAGTTCCGGAAATTGTAATTTCGAGAGCATTAAAGAATCGGAGTGGGAATGTGGTATTTGTTTAAAAAACACGTGTTTCATTTATTTAACATATGAGCCAAACTTTGACTTTTAAAAGTAGAGAAGAAGCGGCGGAAACCAAAATCAGCCGACCTCCATCGACATAAAACATCGAAGAAATTACGGGCTTAACAATGATAATTGGACAGTTTCTGCAAAGAATGGACCTACCACCGCCAACGGCCAAACCTTGTGAATAAAATTGTCTGTCTTCTTACTAATGAAAATAATTCCCAGATCCGAAACTATATCCATGGTAAATGCGGAGTTTCATAAGATCGAAAAATATATCATAACAGTTTTACGTATGTTAATTTGTAAGTAAAGATTAATACTTGATTGTTTGCTGTTCCCTCAATTGGTTGTATATTCCTTGGAACTTAGCATAAAATTGCTATTGAGAACTTATCACATAGGAACACTTCTCTTGATTGAAAAGGTGGATTTTTATTTTCTATATTTTACAAAGGATATGCATTTCAGGCCTTATACCCCTCTGTTCAGTCCTTATTAAGGCCGAAATGCATATCCTTTGTAAAATATTGCGAAATTCTATATACCAACAGATAGTTTATATATTCTGTACGTATCGAACAACTTTACGTTTAAATCTCTGTGGTAATCAGTGTTAACTCCGGTGAAATTTCCTAAGAACTTACCTCCGTTTGAGAAATTCTATTGGCCAAAGGAATTTGGGTAGGTGTGGCGCAATCGACGTGAGCTTCGCCGGTTAAACATTTGGCTACGGTCGTCGTTTGCCGCAAACTAAAAATAACCAGAAAAAGGAAAATGCCTAAAAGGTTTCTGACCTAAATATTAATTTTATTGATGTATTAAAGCGTTTATATAAATTAAATTCTAAATTTTGGAACATATTCTTTGTCGCCAACTTAAATTCATAAGGTATAGAAATTATAAATTTTAATAACAATATGTTAGAAAAGACGAAAATTCTTGATGCATATTTGGATTCCGAACTTTAAATAAAATAACCTACCGAAACTGTAAGGTGACGTTTTCCAAATTCATGTATTTCGAGAGAAAAATCCGACACGAATAGCGACTGAGTTTATTTCCTTTCGTAGACTGCTGACAGAAATTGTCATCTAAAGTTACGTTTAGTTGCAAAAGACGAAGTGATTCCACCGTCTCCGATAAATCTAAAATGTACATTTCGATTACGTCTCTTACTAATAAAATAACGACAGAAGACTTGAATGTACCTTTCTCGGATTTCGCTTCCACCTCTCTCCTCCTCGCGGTGTGGACTAGTTCCGTTTCCCCCACTCTTCTCACAGACTCCGCCGTTTGACTCTCGCTGGCGGCGTTGTTATCGTCGACGATTTCCAAAAAGGTCGAAGAATAGTCGTCGCTTTCTTTTTCGTCCGTCGTGTCATTCGTTTTGCGTGTTTTTAAATCTGTGTTTGTATTATTCGTTCCCCTTTGTGACGTCGTCCGGCCGTTGTCTGTAATTGCTGGGTGTAAGATTATGAATAACCTATCGTAATACGGAAATAACTTATCGTAATCGTCTTACCTCTCGTGTCGACGGGATAACTTTTGATTTCCTCTCGAGATTCGGCGTGTGTATTACTGCAACACGTAACCGCGCACGACGAAGAATCGATACATCGAGGCGGAATACCGATCGTCTTTGGCAGGGGTTTACGAGTGGAACCTCTAGAAACCGCTATCGTCGGTTGTTGCGTGAAGCCGTCTGCCAAGATGTTCCGTGGCTTATTCGTTTCTGTATTTGCAATTATTCCGATAAGTTAAATACGTATGTAATCTCCTATTTTGTATACCAGAATTTTTAATCGTCTTACCCGTTGCGTGGCCATTTAACGAAGTGGCGTTACTCGGAGAGGTCCTCTGCGGAGGACTGGAGTGCGAGTTTCCGGTGGAAGTTGTATAATTATTATAACTATTTTGATTTCTAAATTATACGAATAGGCCATTTAGAAATTATGTTTAAAAATTATTTCGTAGTATTGTGAAAAGAGGAACTTACCCTGTGTTTACAGACGTAAGAATAGCAGAAGGTTGGAATTCTTGTCTTTTATGCCATTCTAAAACGTAAAGTGTGGCAACGGCAGCCAGACTGAAATGGCAAAATATTTTTTATAATTGACAATTATCTTAATAATTTTTAAATTCTTTTTTGGCGTTAATTACGGGTGAAAATTTCTCGACTGCTGTATATTTTTGTTTCTTACCAGAAAGACATGAGAAGTAAAAGAACGAGAATCGTTGCTTGAACTATGTGATTTGTACAAAAGAGACTTTGATGCTTTTGCTTGTGGCACTGGTGCCTATAATATTTCTTTCTTGAATTTGTTACTGTACTACAACGACTGAAACGAAAAAGTTTTATTAAATCATTTGATAAGACAAGATTTGAATGTAATTTTATAAAGATATCGACATTAATTTCGACTGTACCTAGTAACGGTACTTCCGCTAGAAGTGGATTTGATGCTGTCTATTCTTTTCAGCCTGGCTAATTTTTTATTCATTCTCTCTAATTCGTCTATTCTTGTTTCTAGTTTATCGGTAACTTTACACAATTCTTTCACGGCGCCGACGTTTTCCATAAAAATGCGTTCCTAGGTAGTAACAGAAACGTACGAGATTAACTGGTGCAAGAATTTCTTAGTATTTGTTATCGTCTTAACGTACTTTATTTACTACGAGGAAATGTTCTACTTCCCGTCCGTCGGACAATACTACTTTTCCAATTTCGCGAACAGCTTCCGGTAAAATCTGTTGAATTTCTTGAGCCAAAACACCCGTTCCGGACAGATCTTCTTCCGTTAGTCCCACTTGTTTCCCAAATTCGGGTAAGTAGCTGTATTTAACTATTCTCATGTTGGCTACGTTCCGAAGTTGAAGCCGCGTATCCAGCTACAAAAATACGAAAAGTTTTAACATTTGTCGAAATTTTCCAAAGTTCTTTTAAACTTTTGTCCAAACTCACTTCTTCGATAGTTTTTTTCACCCGTGTATCGGACGGCTGTACAATATGACCCGTTAATTTTATATTTCCGTGAACGACTAACGATTCTTCGGGTCTATCCGTATTGATCCCGACTCGACCCTAAAATACAGTAAAGTAGAAACGATTAAAATGAATTATTCGTTTTCAATAAATACTTTCTATTAAATAACACTTACAGCGTGATATATGGAATCTGCCAGATGACCTTTCTGCCAACACAATTCCAAATCATTTTCAAATTGACCAGGATTAGATGCCTGACAGAAAGACAAAGTCTGGTAAGTAAAAACAATATTTTCAGTGAAAGAAAGAAGCTTAGAGGAATATATTATATATAACTAAAATTATAATTTTATTAGAAATTATTCTTTAAAGAAATTTTTAAGTCTATTATATAATTTATTTCTTTAACTTATTTACGCATTTTACGTAATAGTTATTTAATTTTAATTAGGCTAATTGTTATCGACAAACATCGAAATGCTTACTCGAACAATAATCCTTTCGGAAGCGTGCGCAATTATTTGATAGCTTTGATCGTCGACGTGAGCGCAGAGGCTGACAACCAAATAAAAGTACCTCTGATCTGGATTTGGTTTACCTTTCTTTCTCATGTTGTTCGATGTCGTTTCACTGAAATGCAGCCTTCCTACAGTCGTCTTAGTGACTTGTTCGGAAGCCAGTTCCACTCTGAAATATATTATTATTCAATCATTAACGTCAAGTTTTTAAAACATTAGTCAATTTTAATTACCCAGTTTAATTTCGTGTAATAATATATTATGCTTCTTTATATAACTATAAGAATAATATAGTTAAATTGAGGGAAACGATACGAATGAATTTAGGCAAAGGACACTCGTTACGAACTTTATTTTATTACTATTTAAACGTATAGAAACTTACGGAAAGATGCCGAAAGTGGTGAATCTCGTGTATCTATGTACTGTACAGTACAGTACCTTCGCGTACGCGTAATCGCATTCGGAATGACTTTACGTATAATACCGCTATCGAGTTTGAATACTTCCGAGAATGGTCTGCTTATACGAGGGCGGTTATTTTTTCAAGCTCCGATAGTCCATGAAAAAAGACAAGTGTAAATAACAAAATGAATTTACTATCAAAAGTTAGGTACAAACATGGTTACTTTTCGACATAATCATAGTGAAGATTGAGGCATTTGTCATATCTGTGGACGAGCTTTTCCATCCCCTTGTCATAGAATGTTGCCACCAGTGAATTGAGATGGTCTTAACAAAGTTGTTTTGAAGATCATCATTAGTCTCAAACCTCTGCCTTGCTAGCCCCGTTTTCAGTTCAGGAAAGAGGTGGAAGTCTTCACACATTAAAAAGTTTTAAGATGGGTAGAAGTCTGAAAGGTGGAAGTCTTTACCACCTTTAAACACCCAGCGTATAGCCCCGATTCAGCACCGAGCGACTTCCATCTCTTTCCTGAACAGGAAAAGTGGCTAGGAGGGCAGAGGTTCGAGACTAATGACAATCTTCAAAAAACGTTAGAGTCCATCTCAAGTTATTGGCGGCAACATTCTATGAAAAGGGAGTGGAAAAGCTCGTCCACAGATATGACAAATGCCTCAATCTTCACAGTGATTATGTCGAAAAGTAACCATGTTTGTACTGTACCTAACTTTTGGTAATAAATTCATTTTGTTATTAAGACTTGTCTTTTTTTCATGGACCATCGGAGCTTGAAAAAAAAACAGCCTACATAGTTTTGGGATTGGTATCGTACAAAATATTTCCTTTTTAAAAATCCACTATAAAATTTACCCCACTATTTCATCGTCTCTGTGGGGCTGATTTTCAGTAGAACACCCCTTATATAATATGTAGGATAAGAGAAATTATTAAACAAAGTTATAAGAAAATTAAAGTATCGTCTATTTCCGATTATAAATGTAGGCTACTAGTTGCTAGAGTTCTTGAGGGGTTGGAGAATTGGTGAGATTGAGTTGGGAGAGGCCGATAAAAACAACGGTCTTAGTAACTAAAATGTATGTAAATTTACCTCATTATTTACAATAATGAAACTGTAAAACACAAAAAAAAATTACTCGGACTAAACTTAACAGGGGGTACCCGGACATGTTTGTCCCATAGGCTTAACATTGTACTGTACCGATACCTTTGCCTCTTCGCCATGCCCGAACCATTGAACCTTTCTCAAATCCATCTTCAGCGGCATCATCTACAGGATAATAACTTAAATATGATACATAAACGATATTTTTAGCCCTATCCGTTTACTCGAAATAAGTCGGACAAACTGAAAATCTCTTTCAATTAATAAACTTATATAGATTAATCCCTCGTTGGCCATTTTAGGATATTTACGATAATAATTATCGAGCGTTAATATTAAAAATTAATCTACGAAACGTATTAAATATTTTCACTTACAGAACTGGATAAAAAGGTTTTTTACTTCTGTCCGATTGAGATTGCTCCACTTTAATCGTTTGACTGGGAGATTCGACCTTTAACAAACACATCCGGTTGAAGTTTTTAAAATTGTCGTATTTAGTGGAATGGATAAAAATCTTACTTTGACTCCGTGGAAATGAAGATAAAAGCTGTCTATCTGTTTGACCCCTTCGGGTGTTTTTACAAATTGAGGTTCTCCAACAGGCTGAACGTGGACGGTCACTTGAAAATGATTTTTCTTTTGGCATACGAAGGCATCGTCGGCGTTACTAAAATTAAATCCTTTGTCGGCATCGACCCGATAGTTTGGCGGAGGTCTAACAAAAACGATACATTTTTGGGTTTAATTAAACGTTTACAGCGTAATGTTTAAAAATCGTTATACTTACAGTTCTTTTAAGTTTCGATCTAAGAGAATGTGCCACGAATTTTGTTGAAAGGGTTGAAATCGTATACATTGATACGTAGAATCTAAAAACATTTGCGATGTTTCCGATCCTGCGAAATCGAAGCTGTAATCTTCGTCGGAAGTAGGAAGGACAGACGAAGTAGTCGCTGGTTCTGGAGACAAACCACCTACTTGTATCGAACGAAAAATAATCGAATATTAAAATACTCGTATTTGTTTTTACAATTGTTTTCAAACAATCCTACATTTTTAAATTGTATCTAAATACGACTCGTACTTTTGCAAATAATTTATTATTTTGTGGAGGCTTTTCGATAATTAATAGTTTAGAGAATCTTATTTACAGAATCGTTTTTGTCCATTGAATTAATATACAGTAAATGACTTGAGAAACTCTATTAAAGCAAATTACTTTTATTTTTTCATCTAAATAGATAAATTTTGTATTAAACTGTTGGCTCGGTTTGTTTGTTTTTTCTTATCTTTACGTCGGTCTGACGCCATTTTATTTTTATAAAGAGAAAGTGCAAATGTTGGTACATTTGCAACCGACCAAACCGACCTGTTATTAGACCGGTAAGTTAAGTTACTCTATGTCTAGACTCCGTCTACGATTAACGCCCACAAATCGGGAGTATCGATAGTCGAGAAAGAAAATAAATGTTAATTTTGCTTCGTTCCATCCTTCATATTAGGTCGGGACTCGGAATTAAACAGAGATTGGAGTTGAAAGATCCGATAAGTTCATTCGTCGTTACAAGAATTTTTCTCTAGAATTATGGAAAGAAACTTTAAAATGGACTTTAGAAAATTGAGTTTTAATTATTGTAAAGTTTTTTATTTTTTATTTTTTTGTTGAATTTTACCGTCCGATGGCTGGATTATTATTAAATAAATCAAAGACAAGTCTGTCCAAGAGGGATCACCATTTATTTTGCATTTCAGACTACACATACACATTAAAGGCGACAGGCCTTCCTTTTTAGGATTCATGCCGCCAAAAAATAAAAAAAAGTCCTTTAAGAAACGCAAACATCCAATTAAAAGTAAAAAGAATCGGTGACACAGACGTCTTACTGCTCATCCATCTGGCCAATGGGTGGTTCTGCTTTATATCTACATTCGACAAAAATTCAAAAAAAAAAAATTTTTAAATGTACTATCGCCAGGGGGCAGCTTCAAAATCTACATCTTCCAGCGCCTTTTCTAGTAGATATAAAGCAAAAAAGCCCATTGGCCAGATGGATGAGTAGTAAGACGTCTGTGTGTCACCGATTCTTTTTACTTTTAATTGGATGTTTGCGTTTTTTAAAGGACTTTTTTTACCTTTTGGCGGCATGAAGCCTAAAAAGGAAGGCTTGTCGCCCTTAATGTGTATGTATAGTCTGAAATGCAAAATAAATGGTGATCCCTCTTGGACAGACTTGTCTTTGATTTATTTATTGTAAAGTTGTCATATATTAATAAAGGTTTACGATTAATTCCAAGTTTCTTTGATTATATAAATATTCCTAATGGTGTCATTCGATGGCTTTTCTATCAGAAAACAAACTCCTATAAGCAAAATCCTATTGAAGGGAATTGTTTTCCACTGAAATAACTTTTGTGTTCGGTATCGATTGACAATAGATATTTGACGATTGCTTACAAAACTTTTCTTACATTTCTCAAAATTATTTAACAAAATTTGAAAAAGTTTGACGACGAAAATCATTATTAATGCTGGATTTTAAGTTTATAGTTTTAAAGTTATGAGTTTAATCATGTCCATTTTCAAAATGTAATGCATTTATATTCTTTGGATTACATCGGTAATTACCAATGGATTCTACATTAATACTTTATTAGATTATTGGACTCACAATCCGTAAAAATTGCACCCGATTTGAGCGGATCGCTTCCCGGTTCTTGTTTGACGTGAACGATTCCGTTGAGGAGATTGCCGACCACAACATTCTTGGAAGAATCCGACAATTTTCGTTTCTTGGACGGATTATTTTGCGGATTATCTAAACTCTCGCAGATGTAATCGTCCGCTCTAAAATAAGAAAACAAGCATTAAATAGGCGAATAAATACATATTAAGTAATACTTTATCCTCCAGGCTCTCACCCGGCGAAAAGATTTCCTAAATGAGCGGCGGTGGTCACCAAAGAAGGCAAACTTGGTTGTGGAACGTTTGGAACTACCGACATGGGAGAAAGCTGGGTTAGTCCTTGTCCTCCCGCGGTTGCTTGATTATGAGTCATCAGCGGGTGACTGCCCGAGTGAGGCTGTTAAAAACGAAAATAAAAGTCAACCCTCGCTAAACTATGCTAATTTAGTAAATAAGACTTACTGAATGCTGATGAGGAGGAGTCACCGTTAGCCCCGGATCGGGTAAGTGTTTCAAGGGCTGCGTGTTGCCGTACGTTATGTAATGGTGCTTGAGATTTTCGGTTTGAGATTGCATCTTCTCTAATTGGCCCGATCTTCCGTGTACTAATTTAGGATCTGTTCAAATATATTTCGAAATTTATTTTCAATTCTAAAAATTTCGGAAATTAGTCAAACATTGCTAAATATTAAAATCTTTACTGAAAATAATAATATTTGTAGTAAAATATAAAACGTTCGTGAACCCGAATTCTAATAACATTTATATAACGTAAAATATTAAATATTTGTCGGGATTCTATAATAAGATGTTAAATAATCTATGTGTGTTAATGAATTGACCGGTTAGGAAATATTTTAAATTTATTCTTTAATTAATCATAATTAAAAAGTCTTTAAACGTAGACTTAACAAAACGCAAAAGAAAACATCTTTTATATATATTTCCGTACATCTATTTTGAAAATCAATTAGTAATATTCATTGACGCGCTTATAAAATTTACATATCGGGAGGAAAACACTTGGGATTAGAAAGAAACGATATAAAATAATACGTAGACATTAATAAGAAAGTCGAGAGAATATTTCGAAATTTTTATTCATTAATTTTGATTGTAACAAACACTTGATTATCCATCGCATTTATTCTAACCTTAATAAATAAACTGTAAAAAAAAAACATAGCTTATGTATCTACATAAACATTACACGTGTATTCTACGTCGCGCAATACACAGGCAAACATATAACGGCCTGGATTATTAAGTTTATTAGCTACATAAACCTATAAAGATTATCCATAAAAACTTTCCTATTTAATGTTTTTGCAGTTAAAAATAGGTTACCATAGATTAGCATAACGAGACATTTACTATGCAAATAGGTTACCTACATTGTTTTCGTATTAGTAAAACGAATAGCGGAGTAAGATGGTAAGAAAAATTTTCATTATCAAATAAACCAAGTTAATTCATTTCAGTCTGTCTAAAAAAAAACTTTGCAGTAATTACGCCAATACAAATAACACGTAAAATCTAACGCTGAGACTGGTTTAGTTCTCGTTATTAAATTGGATGGCAACGAAAAGACAGTCGTTCACCCGTCAACCACGAGGACTTTCCTGTCACCGATAGCTTTGCCGACTTTAAGGAAAATCTAACGAATAATTTGGTTACACCAGTCCCAAAATACTTTTATTTCAAGTATTAATTCGTAATTTTTAATGACTGCTTAAATCCCCTCTTCGCTTCGTAATTTTAGAATTTTAATATTGTCAATGACCGAACTGTGAGTAATTCTTGCTTTACAAAAACTTCGACATTAGGGTATTTTTAAAGGGTGAAAAAGAGATAGAAATTACCTTCATGAGGAGGAGAGAAAGGCGGTTCCGATCCAGAATCGGGAGGGCTATCTGGAAGATGATGCCTGTGGAAATAAATAAAAGCATAAAATTAAAGAAAGGTAAGAATTAAGAATTTTTTTAATGATCAAAAATTCTATAGTTTTACTCAGTTATAGTTCATTTATCGTATAACACGTTTCCGGCGACAAAAATCGCTACAGAATTAAATGGAACAATGTCAAAAACTCGAAGGCGTAAACATTTGGACATTATCAAACAAATATCACGCAACATACTAAACCAAAAAATGTATTGAGGATTATTACATTTGATCCAATGGAAAATTTAATAACACGTTTTATTTTCAAATAAATTATTCCTTAAATTTGGATGTGGTTGTGTAAAGAAATAAATTGTTTAAAAAACCTTCGTAAATTTTATTGATATTATTATAAAAAGTATGTTTTGGTTTTAGTTATCAGAATATTAAAACTAAATTATTTTAGTAATATATTTAAAATGTGAAGAAATAAAATATACTATAAGAAAACACACTTTCTCCGTAATGTAAAATCAAAATTTCTAAAGAATTTGTTATTCAAAAAAGGATATAGGCCTAATAAAAATCCAGAAACAAGTTGCTTAACTTTCCGGGCAACATTTAAAATTGCGTATGACACCATCTGTGGTGATATTTTATTTTAAAATAACTTTTATACTTTTTGTTATCATAAAATGGCAAAATCTTAATTTTTAGAGTAGGGATGGGCTTTATAAAAATTGTAAATGCTAAGAACGAGTAAAATCATCATCAAGTCAGACCCTAGTCGAGGTATGACACGATTCCCTTTATTTCCCCACCCCTAGACTTTTAACCGTCAAAATTTAATAGCATCAATTCTCCTAATAAACAAACCTACCCTCAAAATTTCAGAAATTTTCGACAAAAATCACAAGAGTTATTAAGCTTCAAAGAGGGTTAACAAAATCGTATCATACACACACACACACACACACACACACTAACATCCATACATACCGAAAAACCCTCGAAATTTTTTTCCGACGTTTCAATGTCCCGAGTCCAAAAATAAAAAAATCTTGGGGGGATCATTTTTTGACCGATCGCCATACTTTCCCTCTGTTATAAGTTATATAACAGAGCCGAGAAAGTAAAATTCCTCTCTCGTAATTATGTATAATTTATTTTTCGTATATCGTCGACATCCGAAGTATTAAGGTATAATTTTATAAAGAAGAAATTTATTAATTTCGAGACATCTTATTTTCGATAAAATGAGATCGTCGTCGATAAAATTTGAAAAAAAATCTGATCTGCCAATAGACAATAGAGCAATTTTCTACGATACCGATCTGAATTATTATCTAATAATAATTCTTTTATGTTTTACTCGTCAGTCTTATCTAATACATGGGTATTCTCGTCGGAAGCGTACGCCAGACTTTTTACGAAAATTAAAATTTCTTCGAACGACTTCTATCTCGAGATCTGGACACGAATGTAATTCCAAATGAAAAATATATTAGACAAGAAATTTCATTAACGTAGTTAAGCGAAAGCGTTACTGTTAGTCTCTCGGATGCTGAAAAATACTTTATATATTCATTTTTATTTTATTAAGTAATCTCTCTTATATTTTTTCCAGTGGTCTGTATCCTGCGGATTTCTTTTAGTACGCCTATAACGTTCGAATTTAACAAGATTTTGTATATATAAATAATAATTCGACAGGTTTATACACAATTACACATGCTGCGGCGTTCCATTTTATAAATTTAACAATTATTTAAATTATCCGTAAATTAGGTGGTAATTTGTTAATATATTTTCTACTTATGTGTTGCCAAACAAGTTACGTAACGTACAATACTAAATATAAAAACATTTCGTTCGATGCAACAACAATATTTCAGTATTAAATAAACTTTTACGGAATAACACATATTTTTTTTCTTTTATTAATTATTTTATGTTATTATTATGCTACTTAATATACATTTTCTAAGGATCCTTTCGTATTCGTGTTTATTTACTCTACAGAATATTATACAATTTATTATAATATACTATACTGTATAATATGTACTGTATTGTACTGTACATGTATATGTTAAATTATTTATGTGTATATTTATTTCTAAACGACTCTATTGTTAATTTTATAGTTTCTAAAGCATAGTTATACTTACGGGAATTATTCTGACTTACTATCAAAATAAGAGAAAAATTCAAATATCTCTTCGAGTGTACACTTGATTTTCATTGCGCAATTGTTTACACTCCTTTTTCTTTAATTTCATACATTTTTAAAGAAAATCTTATGTTCGAGACACAGCCAACTTCGAAAATGAAGAAATTAAATAACTATTAAAACCATTATTTCAATCTAATACAATTTTTCATAAACTGAAAACGTATGTGTTAACATCATAATTAGATTATTTAGATAACAACAACGGTCTTCTAATTTGTTCTACGTTGCATATTAATTTATAATTAATACGAGTATTATACATTAACAGCATTAATCGGTGTAGAATTTTAAAAAGATTGATGTTATTTTCGTGTTTTCTGATGAATATCTTTCAAAACTGACTTAATTATGGGAGGTGTTTATATGAGATAATGCTAATATATCAAATTTAAATAGTCGATCGATTTATTTCTTATAAAGGCACTACTTACGAACATTTTTCGTTCTGTAGAACTTCGAGTTGAAGACAAACTTACAGATATAGTAAGAACTTGAATAGAAGTGTAGAGAGAAAGAAAGAATTATAAATCTAACTTGAGCTCAGAAATTATTAAAATATGTATTATTGGAATATTTATATTAATATTTTAAAAGACATAATAAATTATCTCAGCGAACATTAACTCTACATATATAATTATAAATATTTGATAAATGAAATAAATCAATAATGGGTCCTTCGGAGAATCTGCATAACCGGTATCTTCATAAGTTGTGTTTAGATTCTTGAAAGTTAGGATTTTAAAAATTACGCAGATTTTTTGCATTATTTATAAGCTGTTTCCTTCATATTAAGTAACCTAACTTTCTAGAATTTTGATACTTTATTAATAACACGATACAAATGGTAAATTCTCGTTTACGAAATACTTGCAACAACATATACCCTACATTAATTTATTTTATGTAGAAACTGGTAATATACCAATATATTTCATAGATTTGGTACTTTGGAAAAATAATTTTCCTTTTTGAACTATTTATTTTCAAATTAAAATAATTCATACGAAAATGAAAATGATAGGAAATAAATTTGGCAAAATAAATTTTGATATTATTGAAATAAACTATTATTATTAATATAATTTTATTCTATCCGATATATAAAATTATCACGTATTATTTTTTTACAACATGAAATATACAATCACAATTAGAATTAATGAAATTATTATCGTTAAAATCGCACGAATTTAACTATGAAACTCGACTCAATCCTATACCTGAATTACTAGTTAACGCGTCACGTAAATGAAAAATAAAACTGCAAAGGCCTGAATTTTTTAATCTAAATTGTATAACGTTTTCTGATCAAGTAAATAGATTTAAACTTTGTATCAAATAATACTTTTAATATTCTATCGAGTACTTCATTCTAATATAATTCCAAAAATACGAGCCTAATATACTATGCAAAAAATTTTCCGCGGATATTAATAAAATGGTAATCTTTTATATAATTAATTTGTGCATTTTGGTATTCAATAAAATTCTTTTAAATCCACTAACTAAATATATGCTTAAGATCCATTTTATGTTAATAACATCCTAGTTTGCGAGAAAAGAAGTCCAGAATCAATATCGATACCATTATAAAAGCCGAAAGTTAAATAAATTAAACGGGAAAACAGGATCCATAGATCACGTCCATAGATTATACAATATAATTTCGATGTCACGATTCATAGATTATACAATATAATCAATCAAATTTGACATTAAACTATAATAAAAATTCCATCGTAACTCTAGGTTAAGGGTTTTAAAATTTTATTTTAATTCACTCATTTCTTTTATAGTAAAAACATTAAGAAGAAATAACTATGTGGAAATTATACGATAGTCTGACATTAACAAGGAGAATAAATGTCTCCGTGGATGAGACGATATACTGTACTATAAACTAATCGATATCTACATTCACCTAATTGTTTTATTACGAAATATTGAATTTTACGTATGTGAATATGCAGAATTCCAGATAATTTGCAGAAAAAGTAGCCATTTTATCAGAAAAAAGCTCAATATAGATATTTATTTACAAGATGTATTTTGTCTTTGAAATTAAAATTCGGGGAGAACATCTCCCCGAATATTTCTTAATCCACTTCATTGTATTCATTTTATACATGCTTGAAGTATAGTTCATCGTGGCTTCAGAAGAAATAAAATTGAAGCAGCAAATATTTTATTCCTCTAATGTCATTTTGGTCTAAGAGTTGAAAGGAGATGCAGCCTCATCCGGTTTAATAGTTTCGTTTTTGATGATGATACTTTCGAAAATGGCCTTTTAATTGTGGTAATACTTATCCGTAAGCTGTACCGAATTGTGATAGTTCTCATTAACTGCTTATCACTGGCAGTTAATGAGAACTATCACAATTCTGACAGCATCAATTCGCCCGCTGCATTTTTTTATTGTCAATGCTTTGCTCCAAAATATAGAGCCATTTGCGGGCTTTTCAGAAAAGTATTTTTCAATTTAAGAGTTAATACTAAGCATCACTGGTTTTCTATCATTGCAAAATGAGACCTGACTATCGAAGTGTAATAGAAGAGCTGAAAAAGATGGGCGACTATGGTTTAAGCAAATGCTAGGGAGATATTTCTAAAAATATATTTCTTGGTAGCCAGACTCATCCAGTATGTATAATCTACCAAGAAATATATATTTTGTAAATCTAAATTCGTCCTGGCAATTTTTTAAATGGATTTATTAATTTTTAAAATATTTCTAACTTTTGGTTCGTGCTCCTGTAAATGTTAAAAGTTATTTTCATGATCATCTTAAAAACTTTATATGCCTGTTTTGTACTGAGACAGCTTGAGAAATATCCTTTAATTTTATCTTATTTTCAAAAGGGTAGCAAATTCATATCCAAAATAAATTTGTTCACACGTTAAATAAAACGATTAATTTTCCAGGTTTACTTCAAAGCTGACCTAGTGACAATGAATATCCTTCTGAGCATTGACAGCGTAAAACTGAATAATTAGTCTCGGATAATACAATGATCTGCTAGCGATATGATATATAGATAATACAATGTTTCTTTCTGGAAAAAGTAAATTTGATCTTTCGAACTCAATATGTCTCAGGAATGTTAGATCCAGCTCATTAGTAGCATCAGAATATATTGCGAATAACTCGCTTTTTTAATATTTATTATAACTTGAAGAAACCATCAGAAAATGCAAATTCAAAGCAAGTCACTACTTCAGAATTCTCTTCCCACAGTTACTTCCTGCAAACTACCATGTGTTCGAAAGGAGAATCCTTTTCAATGGTTCATTACCATCATACACGGAAATATATAAATTAAAGACTCGCATGAAAAAGTCGATCTATGGAACCACTTTAGTTTCCCTCAAATGTAATCAATATCGGACGGAAATTCTTCTGAACACACTAAATGGCGAAAATACAAATACATTTTATGTGTGAAAAAGTTGGGTTATCTGCTTTCACGAACGTTTACAAAGAATGATTAACTCCACAAAGATTAGAGGCTCCATCAGATACCGTAGAAAAAGCAGTTTTTAAAATCAACTCCCAAGTCACTTAAAAATGTTTTAACAGTTTCATATAGTACAGTACTTCTATCGTGGTTTTGCAATGTACAATAACCCCAAAAACTGTAATACCATTTTATTTTTTTTCATTATAATACTTGATTCAAATATGTAAATGTTTCGCACAAGCGATAGCTGTTGACTCTAACGATCAAAACGAAGGAAATACTATTTAATCTCCTGAACTGTTCTTTTAAGAAGGTTGGAGCAATAACAATTTTTAATAAGAGCTTTTCGCACAATCTTAAATTATTTGTATTAGAAGAGGAAGACATTTCTGTCTTAAGCAATTCGCTTAAATGATCTACACTAAAAAATACTAAAGTGGCACGCAACAAGTATAGCTAACTTTAATTCTAATTGAGTCAATATTTTTCTTCAAAGATTGCCGTGAAACAACTTTAGTGCTATTTTTCCGATGTTTAAAAGAAGAATATTTCTTCAGATCACTTTTACCAGCTCTTAATTCAACTTTGCATAAATCACAAAGAATTTTTGTTTCATCACGCTTTACTTCTTTTATCTAATTTGAAAGTTGAAGATCTGTCAGCCATGCAGAATTAAAGATTTTAGCGTATTTTGTCAACTTACACGTCGTTCTAAGCTATACAAATTATGAAACAAAATTTCTTCCTAGCTACGTCTAAATTGCGTAGATCATCGACTGTTCACTGATATACTTTAAAAAATGCTTTCCAATAAGTTCAAAATTCTTCAAATGCATTGATAATAGTTTTGTCAACATGGTGTTTTACCGTTCGTATTAGCACGGTCCTTTTTTAATGCCCAAAACATAAAAGTAGCAAATAGTTGTTTAAAAAAAGCATTAAAAATTTTAAGTAGCCCAAATAACAAATACAGTAGTCTGGTAATGGTCATAACAATAATACCAATAAATGTAGAATATCACCAACACTCCACATATTTTAATAAATAAATGCAATGTATGTATTTAATTTATATATTAAGTACAGTGCATAAAATAGTAACTGAGTTAATTTATTTCAATCGTTTTAATTGATATAACTATAAAAATTCTTTTTTTACTACAATTTTATCTTTAAAATTGGTGGCATTTTATTAAATATTAGTAGATTTATTCGAAAAATTTAAATTACAGCTTAAAGCTAAAATGTAGAGTGCTCATAATTTTAAAGACTTCGTTTCTTGCCTTAATACAAAAAATTTTTATCAGAACGAATTCAAATTTGATAAATTTACAAAAGTAACGAGCATTTATATGTTACGACATGGTCACAATGCCGGGCTGCAATTTTTAATCATATTTTAAATGTATTTAATTTAAAATATATGCTATCCATCTCAAATTAGTAGTGGTTTGCCCCTGTACATCATACTTTCCTTTAACAATAGTCATGCCAGTCATCTATTAATTCCTTTCAGGGGAAAAATTTTGAATTGAAATAGCATAACTTCCAGTGACGTTCTTATATAGTTAGT